ATAGACACTGATCTGGTAGCCAAAAAAAAACTCTACCTCTGTTATATGGCGATATTTTGGATTTAAGATTACTGACACTGAGCAGAGAGAGGTACTGTGCAAGATTTGCAAAATTAAAGTTGCTACATCACGTGGCAATACGACAAATTTATATCAGCACCTGAAACAGCACAGAGAAAAATATGATGAATGCATGATGGAGAAAACCCAGATTAGTAAAGAGACAGCTGAAGGAAACAAGGCACAAGCTGTTACCCGAACAAAACAAAATAATTACAGATGTGTTTGCGAGTCTCACGCTAAATGATAAGACTTCACCTAGGTATAAAGAAAAATCACAGATTCCATAATGCACTGCTTGGCAAAAGACATGATGCTCATACACACCGTTAAGTGGGATTTCAGAAAATGATCCACATACTGGACAAGAGGTACCAGCTGCCCTCGTGAAACTATTTCTCTCAAGTAGTGATCCCTAAGCTTTATAACTTGCGCTGTGAGTATATAATCATTGTATGTAATCAGAATGTGAATATTAAATGTTTTATCACATGTCACATGTCACTTCACTTTGCAATGTCACTGTAGTAAGTAAATGTTTTGTCATTTTTCCACCCTCTTATCATTCACAAAAATGCTCTGAAAGATAATGCACAATGCATTAACAGGGCTACTGGGATATGCATGAAGATTGTGGGCCACTTCTCCCATAGTTGGAAGAAAAGAGTGGCCTTGAGGGAAGCACAACGAGAGCTCAACCTCCCAGAGCATGCCATGGTGACAGACTGCTCAACACTAAGATGGATGCGGAGGAGATCGACACTGAACAGGTAGGCAAAAAAACCTCTACCTCTGTTATATGGTGATATTTTGGCTTTAAGATTACCGACACCGACACTGAGCAGAGAAGGTTCCACTCAGAAAATGATAGCAAGAGTCCTGGAGCAGCAAAGTGGGTTGTCCAAGGTTTTCTCTACAGACCACAAAGTGCGACACCTACTTCCTTCATGGCAGGACCTGGAGGTCTTGGAATCTGTAAACAAGGCACGAAGCCCACTCCAGGACTTCACGGATGCCTTATCGGGTGAACGTTATGTGAGCATATCTTGTGTGAAACCTGCTCTGCATCTTCTGAACACCTCAGTGCTGGCTGAAGACGAAGCAGACACTGACCTGACCAAATCACTGAAATCAAAAATTCTTAGCTACCTCAACAACAAATATGAAGGCACGCACGACTTGCTAAACTTCACCACTTTCCTAGACCCAAGGTTCCGAACACAATACATCTCTGAAGAAGAGACCCAGATCTTAAAGGAACGAGCCATCTCTGAGTTGATAGTGCGTGAAGCCACAGAGTTTACTTAACTGGTAAGAATTCCATGTAACAAATTACTAAAACTTGCATTTTTTATTTGTTTCAGGAAAATCACCAGCAGCAGACTGTAGCCCAAAGCACTGCAGCGATGGAGAATGATAGCCTGGATGTGGAAAGTCCACCTGCTGCTAAAGCCAAGAAGAAAACTCTGGCCAGTTTCTTCAAGGAAACCACATGCACAGCACCAAGAGCATCATTGTCATCCACATTTGATTCCATGGCACAGTTTAGAGAAGCAGTGGCCGCTGAACTCAATGCTTACATTTACATGCCATGTGTAGACCATGGAGAAGATCCACTGAAATGGTGGAAGTTCCACAAAGTAAACTTCCCTAGGCTATGCAAACTAGCACAGAAATATCTGGGCATACAAGCAACAAGCTCTGCATCAGAGAGAGCTTTTAGCACTAGTGGTAATGTTGTGTCGAATCATCGCTCTTGTCTGAAACCAGAGAAAGTGGATATGCTTGTCTTTTTGGCAAAGAACCTCTAATATGATAAGTTTAACTGTTTAGAAAGAGGATTTGGAAGTACCAGTTGGTCATTTAAAAAAAAAAAAAAAAGATTTAGTGGTTTGAGTTTGATTGAGTGAACCACAATTTTATATCCAGTTTCCTTTTCAAAAGAGTTTATACAGAGTATATGTTACATCCTGAGTAAATGTCCCTGTTTGTTTGGACAAAATGTTAAAATATCTTATTTTTGTGAAAATGTGTATGTTTTATTTAATTTAGCTATACTTTTGAGAAAATAAGTTTACATTAATGCAAATGTTATTTCATTTTGTAAAAATAATTTATTTTGAAAACATTTCTAGTTTTACAAATACACATTTTAGCATTATCACTAATCTGTGTGTGCATTTTCCTTAAAAACCCATCAAGTTGACTCATGATACCATTTATTATAATCGCAATCGCA